GGCTTATAGAGAACCTTAGAGAAGCACACACGCAACCCGAGTGTGTGAGGGTAAAGTTCAGAAGGGAAAGATTTCAAATTGAGAAAAGAAAATATGGATTAATGGAAATGTGGGTTACTTTGAAATATGATAAGCTGTGCCTTTTTTATATACATTATTTTAATATAAATACAAAAAGTAATATACTTCGCTTAAGAAATTTTATAAAAACCCTCTTTTTCAATCCCTTTCTTGTCCTTAGATATAATCTTTATAGAGAGAGTTCTACACACATTCAACTTTCACCTTCTGGTTGACTCATTGATTTCCATACCAAAACAGACAGCTTGAAATGCAAATACAATAAGTAATTTGTTCAAGGTTCCCTAGTAAACTTTTTGCCGTAATTTCTTGGCACATTTTGCATTTCAGCGCCACAAAATGAAGACTCATGTATACATATGGGGAGTGGTTGTGTGATGCCTTGCGACTTTCCTTGACTTGCCATATATAATGGCTAATTTGAATTTTTATCATGTTTACAAGCAAACAATACGTGCATCATCATCATCATCATAGTCGTGGAAAAAGGAAGGAGTTGCCATCGTTGTGTAGCTGCTGCTGCTGCTTCTGCTTCTGCTGCTGTTGTTGACGCCGGGAAAACCTCGCACAACATTTGCATATCGATTTCATATGCAGTGAGGAAAAATTCATATGTTCCCGCGACTTTTCCACAATTTCCCCTCCTTTGCTACAACCTACAGTCAACGCCCCCATATTCATTTCCACCCCAGCTCAAGAGTAAATGCAATCGTGCCTTTTTCTGCTTCTACGAAATTGTATGGAATAAACATGAAGATGTTTAAACTCATTCGTTGCTCTGTCACTTTTTCTTACTACTGAAAATGTATGAATTTAAGACGAATTTATGGATTAAGTTTAAAGTTATTCAAGTCAGTAGAAGATACAAAAGGATTAAGCACGTTAATAAACTATACTTAATATAAAACAAAAGGAGTCAAAAAACTTTAAAAGTAAATGTAACAACAACTTTATAAACTAAACTCTTGGTAAGTCTTGGGGTGTTCTTATTTAAAATTTCAATCTTCATAGATCAAATTTCCCCAAGACATAATACCTCTAATAAATTCCCAATGAGCAATATGAACTTCGTGGAACTTTTCCAAAATTTTCATCAGCATTCAGTTTGCTGCAACCTCATAAATAGAACGAAAAAGAAAAGGGAAAATTGTGGAGTATTTGCAAATTTAATAACACCACCTTTGGAAAACCCCTTGGCGCCCTGACTTTCTCCATAATCCCATCCCTCATCCTATTTTCGTCGTTTGTCTGTTTGAAGTTCGCTTGCATGTAAATTGCTCTGATTACCGCGTTGCAGTTTTTCTCACCTTGCTCTGTACTTTTCCACCATTTTCCCCTTCACATTTTGGCTTACTCATTTGATTTGCTTGCGCATTTTGCTGTTGCCTCTCGTTTGGCAGCGTTCTCTTTTACTTAACCTAATGCAAATCGTCGTTATTATGCACTTCTCTACCCTTGAACAATAAATTCCCTTTGTTTCCCTCGTTTTTTTTTTTTTCTTTCTTTGCCTTGAGGTATTTACGTCCTTAGGGGTTTTCTCTTGATTTTTCCTTCCAGAGGAGTTCAGAGAGAAAAGGAAAACGAGTGTCATAAAATTTAAATGCAATTCTTCTTTTTTCTTTTCGCCACCATTTGGATGGAAATGAAAAGTCATTTGTTTGGTATTTATGGTAGCGAGGGTTTTTCCCCAGAAAGCACTTTTTGTGGCTTGTGTGTGAGGTGGCAATCGTTGATTGAATTTGTGATGAAAGATCAAAGGTAAACAACAAATCATTTAGGATAATTTCATTTGATTGTTGAGTAAGAATATCGGGGAAATTGTGGTGTGAGCAGAGAGCTTTTCCTGAGTAATTGTATGTAAATTTTTCTCAAAGCATTCATGGGGTTTTTTTATGGCAAAATGGGATTTACGGCAGGGAAATTTAGTAGTAGTAAATAAAATAAATAATATGTGAACTCTTTAACTATTATTTGTGCTTAAAATTTATAAATCAAATTAAATGTAGAACTTAATTATGGGATTAAAAAAGCCTTATGTCATAGGAAATAGTATGGACTTCCTTCAGCTATTTTGTCCTTCATAAAAACCCATTAATTCCCAAAACTGTACTTATGCAATCATTACAAACTTGGCATTATTTTACCAAAGTCTGCTGCGATTCCCACGATATCTCAAGCCTTTGACTCGTAGCACTCAATAATAAGTGCTATTTTAAAATGTATATATACATATATATAAATACACCCCATTTGAAGTAGAATCAGGAATAACAATGTTTTGAAGGAGGCCAAAGAAAAACCAATCAGAGGTTTGTCCTTCTTAGCCAAAAAGTATGCAACACTTTAGTGGGGGAGACGGAAAAACGGGTGGAAAAGCTAAGACACACAGTGCGAAAGAGAGACAGGAAAGCAAAAGGACGAGAGCCAAAAGCTGGAAACAAAACTCGGCGACTCACTCAAGCATTTTATTAAATTGCCACCTTCCGTTTGTTGTTACGTTTGAAACGACGCCATGCAACGACTGTGTCTTCTATTCTATAAATATATATATTTTATATATATTTTTCGATTTCTAGACTGCGAGACTAAACCTCCCTCTTAACCCTGGCGGTAAACCAAAAAAAAGAGGAGAAAAGGAAAACTTTTGAAAAAATATTTCTGCCATCTTTTTCTATTATATCGTTTCCGCTGCACAACTTTTTTTCTCAGTTGTTTTTGTTTCAGTTTTTTATTTACCATTTTTTTACTTGCTTTTTTTTGTTTTTTGTTTGTTGCTCTGTGGCGAGGTTAAAGTGCCAAATCACGAAACAAACAGCATTTCTCTCTGTCTAGTTTGGAATATTGAATTGAATTGCAATTTCGCTTTGGGTGTGTGCCTGGGAGTCGCCATCGACATCGTCTGTCTATAATGCGGCAAATGTTGGATCGTGTCCAACTTAAATTTGCATTGAATTCGTTTTTAGGCGCAATGCGGGCGGTCTTTGGCAAAAGGGCTTATCTAAAATTGAATACTCCCACACCCACAAATAGTATATTTTGGAAAAGAATTACTAAATAAATATAATTAAATGGAAATTTAAAAAAACTCCAAACGAATATCAGTAAATGTTGCCAAAGAATTATGAATATGATTAAAAAATGTTAAACTCTTTTTTCACAGCTTTTAAGGGAATTTGTTACATGAGTTGTAGAGAATAGGATTATAAAAATAAATAAATAAAAGTATCTCCCGCTAGTAGTAAAATCTAAATCATATTTACACATTACCTACCCAAAATTTCACACTTTAATTTACATAATTTTCCTCATTTTTCTCTGTTATCCATTTACATTTCTATGGAGCAGCATCATTACCGTCATGATAGTGTGCTTATCCATCAACGAGTTAAAAATACAAGAGAAAAATTAGTTAAGCACACAACAGAGAGAGGGAGGAAAAAAGTGCCGAAAATTATTAAGCATACGACATGTTGTACAAGCGTAATTACATGCAGCGGAAAAAGAGAGGGGAAGCTGGAAAAGTGTTTTCGGTGGGAAATGAGATTGGCTGCTGGCAGGAAGCCTCGTAATGCTGCAGAAACTTTTTTCCCACCAGTTTTCAGTTTTTTCCTCAGCTATATTTTTTTTTTTAATTTTTTGTTACAACTTGTTAACAATAAACGCCAACGCCAGAGGTCCGCCCAATTAAAAAGTGGCATTCGCCACAGTCTTCTCAGTCAGTCTGGCCTCTGCCCTCTTTTCTCATTTTCTCCCTTTAAAAAGTCAACATTTTTGTGGTCACTTAAGCAGATTAATATCATGGGTGTAATTAAAAGAAGAGAGAGAGAGAGAGAGAGAGAGAGAGAGAGAGAGGCAAGCATCAGCAGCCCCCAAAGTGAGGGCGGCGGGTTGAAGCTTCCTGTCGGAAATTAACATAAATTAAAATATGCTCACCAACTTTTTCGGAATTATTTTTTGTCGTCAGAGCATCGCCTCTTTTTTTTGCCTCACATTTTTTGCTGGCTCACATAATTGATGGTTTTAATTAACTGCCAAGTGACCGACAGCTGACAACCAAGTTTTAAAACAAAAGGGGCATACGCGAATGAAAGTTCGATGAAAATCCGTGAAATGTTGGAAGCAATTTCGTCTGCTGCTGCTGTTTCCCTTTTTTCCGGCATTTTCCCTTGTATTTCCCCGTACCCTTCATCCCGCCCCTCCTATCAAGCGGTTCATCCCTCACACTCACAACGTTGACCATTGCCAATAAAAACTGTCAAATACTATTGCCCGCTTTTAGGCTGGCCGCGTTTTTCGCACGCAATTTCCACGGCCACGGAATTGTGATCGCTTTCAGTTTGTCCCTCGCTCAGTCACGCTGTCTCTCTCTGTCTCTGTGTCTCCTGTCTCTTTCGCTTCATTTGTCCTTGTTGGATGCCTTTTGTGAATTTTTGAAAACTAGAGTACATTGCGTACAGTGGGATTGAAGCATGGGGTTTGTTATAACTTAAAGTAAATGGTTTTAAAAATTCTTAAAGCTTTCAGAAGCTTTGAAAATTTAGAATTCATATTATTAGATAATTTTTGTCTACTATGTTCTTAATAGAATTTAATTTGATATATTTTCAATAACTATCAATTATTTCCATCATTTCAATTTATACTTTTAACATTCGTTAGCCTTAATTTGAGCTATTTCGTTAGCCGTTTTCTCTATAAAATTGCACAAATATTTCACACGCCTCGCTGGTCACTTTGTGCCTGGTTTTTGTTGATTTGTTTGGCAGTGGAAATATTTCGGTTTGGCATACTTTTAGTTGCCCACACACACCGCATCAATACACCGCATTGTGTGTGTGTTTTTGGGTTTTTTTTTTGTGAATTTTTCTATTTGTTTCAGTTGGCTTAATTTATTTTGGAAAATGAGTCTAAAAACTTACCATTGCGATTCTCGCTGTCGGCAGGCTTCATTTGAATGGGATGATACATCTGAAATTAAATGGAAATAAAACAAAATTTTAATTAGAATTTGTAGAACAAATTATTTGATAAGGTCTTGAGTAAATAAAACAAACAGTCATGGTAATTATTTAATTTAATGAGTCTAGTTTTCAGTAGAAATTTATTTGTATAAATTATTTAAAGTTTAAATTTCTTTCTTTTAATGATGACAAACTTCCCTCGATTCTGAAAAAATGAGGCTTTACCCCAAAACATATTGCTGCCATTGCATCACGAACCCTTGAATCCTTTCTCCAAATCCCTTCATTTTCCCTTGTTAAAATCAAATCCGTTTCCCATCCGTGTTAATCACATTTGAAATATTAGAGCGCAATATGCTCTCCGTGGTTCCACTCGAAAAACGAGAAGGTCGCGATTAATTTACAGAGCTTAGGGCCAAAAATGCAGTCGCCAAAACGACGGCAAGGGACTGCAGTTTCAGGAAAGCGCAGAGCACAGGGGGATGGGAAATGTAAGGGCGGGGCGGGTAGGAAAATGCCCTCGCCCAGAGTCACCATCTAGGCTTCCCCACTTAAGCTGCATAATGAATGGAATGCAGGCAAAGGCAAAAGGGAAGTCTCGCAGGACAGGAAACAAAGCCTCCGCCTAAATCCTTGACAAAAGCCAAACACATTTATTCAGCGGTCGCTAAAAAGGACATGGGCGGCGTTGGCAAAAAAAAGGAAAATAAAGTGAAAGGGGGAAAAGACAGGGGTTTTCTGGTGCAAAAATCCTAAAATATGCGTTGGGACTTTGCAGCGTGTTTTAAATGTAATTTTTCGCACACAAGCATATACAGCGTCGTCTTCTAATTAAAACCAGCTTAAAGCTCCAGTCTCTGTCCCTAGCCACGCCTCCTTACGCCTCAAAAGGAGGCCGCGAAACGGGCACGAGGTCACGCTGCAGTCTCTAATTAGAGATGGGAGCGTGAGTAGTATAAAAAAGGATACGTGAAATATATCGTATAAGTTAATTTTTGAATAAGTTAATTATTTGAAAAAGCAATTCGGTTTTCAATTTTCTATGATTTTAAAGTCGCAAGACTCACTCCTTTTTAATTAAAGCTAGCACATTTCTCTCTATAGTATTTACAAGGACTCTTGTACGTGTCACGCTGGCACCTTTAAGGCAAACTACTGCGTGGCTAATGGCGCGTGATTTATTGGCAAACGAGCAGCGAGAGAGAACGACGACAGTCTACGCTAGAAGGCAATGTCCTTGGTTCCACCTCCTTTTGCAGCACCTTTTCCCCGACTTTACCAGCAAAACCCCAACCTCTCTTTTGGCCGTAAATAATACACGCAACGCGACTGGTTACAAATTGCAGTCCAAAGTCAACCTCCTTGGCTCTGTCGCTGGCTCCTCCCCTTCTCATTTTGCCAATTTATTTATATGCAGGAAGTAGCAATTACCAGTCAAACACAGGCGGCATTCACGCCCTCCCCCGCACCTGGCGAAGAAAGTGGGTTGTGTTGGTTTAGCTGTGGAAATTCAGCGCCTTTCCTCACTTTGTCAACCGCTCTTGTGGTTGACTTTCTCCTGGCTTTCGCCTAACTGGTTGAAATATTGTCGGCAACTGTTTTCTATTGGGCAATTATCGGTCTGGTCTGCACTTAATCAGGCGAAAGGTTGCCTGGGAAATGGCAATCTGGCCAAGCGATATGTTATCGATTACAGAAAGACCAAGCCAAATTAATCGATTGGAAGTCAAGTATATATCGGAAGACATTAATGGTGCTCATTTATAAGAGGAACATAAATAATGGTAATAAAAATAATACGAAGTAAGAGATAGATATTTATAAACCATTTCTATCTAATCTATATTGCTATACTTTTATGCAAACCTCCTTAAAATGCTGAAAAAAACTAATGTAAATTTCCATTCAACATTCTAACCAATCAACATGAATTTCCAAAAAGCATTTCCCTTTTTCCCATTTCGATAACAATCGCAAATTGTGCAAGAAAATTACAAGCCAACGTCAAAGCCTGTCAGTTGAACTGCCAAAAGCAGGAAAAGCACCAACAGCAACGATGAGAGTTAAAATGCAGCACGCACATGTCCCTTAACCCCTTATCGCCCCAATGGGTTGCGCGTTGCATGGCAATTTTCTAAAATAAATATCGCAGCTGCAGCCACGAAGCAACATGCAAATTATGTCAGTTTCTCTTTTGAAGCCGATAACGTGATGACATAAGCATTGTCCCTTGAAAAGCTCCTGCTCCTGCAGCTCCTCTTCTATTTCCATTTCCCTCGAACCCCTCTTGTAGCCCCATTATATATTTTTTTCCTACTGCCAACCATCGCTAACACATGGCTTTCAAATAATAATAATATTCAATGCTTATTTGATGGCGCTATAGAAAAAGGGCAGAACAACAGCAGGGCCAACACAAAAAGTGGTAACCGAAAAATAAAAAAGCAACATTGCCAAATGTCGCTTCGCTTCTGCTGACGCTGCTCCCTATCTCCTGACCTTCCCCCTCTTAGTAGAACCCTACACTTTTTACCATATCTTTCTCCCTTTGCACTTCTTGTGCTGACAACTTTTCCAGGACTCTGCTTGCTTTTCCGCTTTTCCGCTGCTGCTCCAAAGTGCAAATTGACATTTTTGTGCCTGCGGTTTGCTCTCTTCCCGTCAGAAGAAAAAAATCTCTAGTGATGGACAATAGGAATATCCTAAATAGTTATTAAAACTATACATATTACATATTAAATATATTAAATTTCCCTACATTATTATATTTTATTTGTATTTTAGGTCAACCTATTACCTATTATTATATTTATACACTTGCAAGGTTTTATATTTAAGATGATTGTAAAGCAGTGAAGGAGTCATTTCCGACCCTATATTCCATATATATTCTTGATCAGAATCGAAAGGAGAATCGATTTAGCTATATCCAGCTAAAATTTATTTTTTTCAAAAATATGAAAATTTTTTAAGGTGTTACATTATTAAAATGTTAAAAAAAAAATAGCCAAAAATTTAATTTTTTTAAATTTTAAATTGAGTATGCTGATTTTTTAACCTAATAAAAACTAACATACGAACGGTTTCCGAAGTGAAATTAATGCATTTTTAGCTTAGTTATGAGTTTTTTAAACTTTGATTTACCTAAGGAATTAACACATAATACAAATCTTGATTTAACACCTCTAAAATCTTATTTTTCTTTTTTGTTTTTTAAATTACTAAACCATTTGTTATATATATTTCCTTTTGATAATTTCCTGAACCCATCAACTATTCCATCATATCCTCTTAAATACAAAGATAGTCAACAAACTAAAGAACTTTTGTGCTAACAGTTTTCGCTATTTTTGTATTTCTTCCTTTTTTCTGTTAAGCTGCCACAGGACACAGGGCTAAACTTTTGAAATTACTTGCATTTTATAGGGAAATGTTTGGGAGCGCAAATGAAAAAAAAAAACTATATTGGAAAATAGAGGGGAAAGAATTTCACGTTCCACCAATTTTTTCCCATTTTTTTCGTCGGCACTTTACAAAAATATTTTCCCTTGCGTTGCATTTTATTTATTTCGAACCTTTTCGTTTTTATCTTTTTTTTGTGCGGTGTCATGGCTCTGTCAGTCCAAACGCCAGTCAATCTGTCAGTCAGCGAGTCAGTTAGCCATAATGAAGGATGCGAAGAGGAATCAGGACGATGATGCTGCTGCTGTTGCTTTCCCAGTTCCTCCTTTTCACAGCCTGACTCTCCTCTCTGGTCCTTCGGCTGGTGTTGTCCTGTCAGGCGGATGATAGCATTTCATGATAAGTTTATAGAGTTTTCCCTTGTTTGTGTCAGATCAGCGAAAATTTCCAATTAAAGGTTAAGATTCGCGTGACTATCATTTTCTTCAAAGCAAAGCGAACATTTCAAGGCAAATTTTAGGCTGAAAAGCCTCCCTCAAGTACTCTTATATTTTCTTTTCTATTCCCTTTAAATTCTATACCAATTTTCAAAGAGGAATCTTATCATAGTTAGATCATAAGATTTAACAATTAATCCCTTAAAATCCGCAAATTATTAGCAACATTCAAAGTTTCCATTTAAAATGCAAAGAGAGACTACTACAATTTGTGAAAATGGCTTAAAACTAGGGCAGCAGTGGGGCGGATAACATCATTATATAAATCAAAAATTTCCTTACCCCATTCAGCGTCTTAACATTATGCAAAGCATCCTGGGCTTTCAGGGCGGCGCGTCTCGTATAGAACGTCACAAAGCAGCAACCTGGAAAATAAAGGAAAAAGGCATAGGATTAGCATTTGGGGGTTAAATTGGACTTTATTTTCAAATGCCGCCCCGCCCTCGGAAAAGGTGGCACAAAGAAATTATGAAAATTATTATTATTAGCAGGGAAAGGCAAAGGAGGCAAGGGAAAATGTTTCCCGAAAGTGTGAAGAGGAAACGGAAGCCGTGGGCGTGCCTAACGGGGCAACACCCAAGAAATGTGGCAACAACATGACAGCCTGGCACTAAATTAAACATTATGGCCCTAACAAATGTGTCGCGTTTGAGATTGGAGAGCAAGTTTTCACTGGAAATATGGAGTGAGTGGGTGTGCCTTCTTGGGGTGGCAAAAGGGTAGCAAAGGTGTTGAAATTTATGAGGGTTCGAGGGGAGGCAAGTGTGGCAAGCATATTAAGTGATACTTAAAGTTAACATTAGCGTACAAATGTGCATTCCATTCTCGTATATTTCATGTGTAAATTTCACATTTATTGCAGCATTAAAAGCATTATATAAATTTTATTGAATCAAGTTTAATTGTTGTTTATGCTTTAGTAATTTTTATAGTACGTTTACAGGCTGAATTCAAGCTATTTTCTTTAACTTTTTTGCATTAGTTTAATAATTACAAACTATTCACATTCTTTTATTTGTAAACAATTTCCACCTTTAAATTCAACCGAAAACACACCTTTCTCTCCTCACATTTCTCTGTTACGTGTAAATTTCATTTCCATTTCACCAAAATAAATTCCTCTTTTTTTTTGGTTCCATTTTTACATGTGCCTGGAATTCCCTTTCTTTTATATGGCAAATCTGTGGCCAAGTTGCACACCACATTCGCACACACTGGCATACAGAGAGGTTTGGTTAAATCCATTTCCGGCTCCTGCAACATCCCCTTGCATCCCATTTTCAACTCCCACTTTCCCACCATTTCCATAACCTCCAACCCAAACCCAACTCCAAAACCCCAATCTCATGGGCAACCGTGTGTGATGCAGCAGTGCGATGGTTACAACAAAACTTAATACGGAAATAGTTGCATAATGCAATTACCCACCAGCGTATCGGCGGCATTTAGTGGTGGCCATTTGGTGCCTCTCCTACTCGGCAGGTGTGGAAACCCCACCTTCCCTTAACCAATGCCACCCACTATTTGCCACACAGGTAATTCAATCTGTCGCAGTTTTTTGCCATGTCACCAAAAAGCCAATACACACAGGTACACACACGTCCAGCCAGGCAAAATTTTTCAGCATTTTCACATATTTGCAAATTTTCATTTCTCGTTTCAGTTTTCCCTTGCTTTTTTTCTGGGCAGTTAAATATCCGGCAGAGAAATGTTAGATGTGGAAAGAGACTAGCCACATCCGATTGTATGAGTGAATTATGGACTTTGACCTCTTTTTGTATATCTTTCATATCAAACATTTCAAATGTGGAAAGTAAATCACATTTAACTTTAAATAAATCAAAAATTTATTCAATTACAATGATTTTTTATTAGAAATATGCATTAAGAAAATATAAATACTCCAAGCTAACTGCCTGCCTTTGTAATTCAAATGTCTCCAAGAATAAATCACTTTCTCCCTCGTATTATATTTCCCTCATTAAAATCGTGTTCTAGGAAAGCAAAAACTGATATAAAAATTAAACTGAGTTCAATTTCAATCACTGGAAGCATATTAAATATCACTTAGAATTAAACTAGCGTTAATGTAACAAATGAAGGAAAATCGAAACCATTTGGAATGCAATAAAACATGTTTCCCCCAAGAAGGAGAAGTTGATAGATAAGGAAAGCATCGAGCGATAACCAAGGAGGAGGCACAATGCACAAGGAGGAAAACTGCATCAAAACAACGCAGAAAGAAAAAGCAAGAAAAATCTCACACAATTCCCATTATGTGCATGTCAACTGCAGTTAGAATCAAACCCAAGACACCACACACACACACACACACACACCCAAAGAGAACAATGCGATAAAATAAAAATAAGAAAAGCAAGGCAAGGCGGGAAAACTAAAGAAAAATCCAAGGAGTAAAGCTGAAAACGACATCCAGTCACGTTTTTGGCCAAAAAGAACTTAATCCCGGCAAGTGGGAGGAAGATGAAATCGAGAGCCGCCAGACAAGACGTGCCAAAGTCCAGCAAAAAGGATACACACATATATATATACATGTCCTGGATATATCTATATCACACACACACAGGCATAAAGTACCAACACTTGGACACACGCTTGTGGACGAAACGAATTAATCGAAGTTAAATAAATCAATGTCCTTAAACTTTCCAACCCACAGATTTACTGCAACACGAAAACGAGAAAAGGAACAAAGGATGCGCTGCTCCTGGACAGGATCAGGAATGCAACTAAAACAAAACCAATGCAATTGAACTTGGTTTATTCTGATTCGATATGAGCGATAAAGCAGACACACGTGCACTGGAAAAGGGTTATATATCAACCTGATAATTAATAAAAACTAGATATATTTTATACTATGAGAAAGAGTATTTAATCAGGGATAATAACTCTTCCAAGAATTTGCACCTCAACCGTGACAAGTGCTTAGCAAAGCTTCAGTGGACTAAAGTCGTGACCAAATTTCTCTTTTATATGAA